GGGGGGGGGGGGGGCACCACTGTATTTATCTTGAAATTTTTTAAGCAGGTATATGTGGTGGCTGATTTTGTTTTCACCTCATGTCATCAAATCTTTTCATATTAATAACCTTAATCTGCTTCATTCACACTTTTACATTTCTTTACATTGCCTGCAAATCAGAAGCAGATTCTTAACATTTCCCACTTACTTACGTGTATAAACATATGACACTTATCTCTTCTCAACTAGTAAATGCACTTAATAGTATGATGTAACACATTTTTATATCTACATGTAAAAAAGGATCAATGTGTGTTTTATAAAGAAACACTTGGCATATAAAAGAAACTATGATAAGAATACATACAATTAAGTTTACAGAGCTTTGGAATTTATTTTCTGGAGACAAAGTAACTTGGCCAAAAGAATATGTAAAACTTTTATCGGGATAACTTTTAATAGCAATGGTCACAGCAAATGAGTCCATGTATCCATGAACTTGAATTACTACATTTTCAGAGGCTCCAACATAGAATACTTTAGGTGCTGAGACAACATACCTGTTGAAACAGTAAAATTACAGAGTCAGACTGTTAATAAAACATAATTTTTTAAAAACATTTCACTTAGGAGAATCAACTGAAATTAGCACCGTTTCTTATATTTAACAACATATATTTTATTTCTCAATGTTTTATTATCTATGATGAAGCCAGGATAGCTTCCTGAAAGTATCCAAAGGATGAGATTTCAAGGAGGCAGATCCAAGTGGTTTTGATCAGTTGCAGCCAGGGGGGGATGTAATAGAGTCCACTATAAGAAATGCAAATAGGGATCATGCTTCTGTCTTTTGAAGAACCTTTTTTAATCAAAATACCAATCAGAAAGTTACCCTTCCCCGGAGCAAAGGTAACAGCTTGGGAAAAATACAAAGTTTTTGAATACAAGTCATGTGGTGTTCACAAAATACTCATACAGAAAACAGAGTAACGGTATTGGACAATAGAGAAAAGAAGAAGCTAACCTGGAGTTTTCAGAAGTAGAAAATTAATTTCATGTGGCAGTGATTGAGTTCTGTTTTCTATAAAAGCATAACCAAAACACGTTGCAAATGAAAACAGGATTTTTCACTTACGTTTGCTCTTGTGCCCAACTTTTTCCCAAGTAGAAAAAAATACAGACTACACTTAAAATGTCCATGCCTGGGGTAGCATTAAGCTGTTGACAACTTTCTGGAAATTGTCCTCCTTTTTGTGAACTCAGCTTGAAAATTTTGGTTAAATTAGTCTTCAGGTTAATTATTAACATTAGATAGTGGGATCACTGAGAAGGAAAGCTAAGAATTTAAATCATAACCTTTGAATGTCTACAAGTAATTTTGGGATTTGAAATATAAAGCAGATATTGATGAGTAAAGCAGAAAAGACACCCAAATGGGAGTCTCTAGAAAAATGTGTCAAAGCTGGACACAGACACAAAATACTTGGAGGCTGCTCTGGTCTTGCACATTTTCTGGGTGTAGTAGATGCAGTTAATGCCATGACCAGATCCCCCTTACTGGGCTTGGTGCAACCATTCTTTAGATACCTTGAGTGCTGGCTGTTAAAGTTTCTCACTTGCCCCCTTCTCCAAGTAATTCACCTCAGCCATAGATGACAGCTTGCCCAGAAATGCTTGAGATGTTACATCCTCTGTCTGGGATTGGTTCGTAGTCAATAAGTGATTGATTCTGGGGGCACAATAGCCTACCTTCTTTGCTTCAAGGTGGGATAACTTCGTGGTAGCATCCATGCTACAGAGCACCCTGGTAGGGTCGGGGTGAAGCTAGACCTCAGCTGATACCACATCTTTGCTTAGTTCTTGCCCTGCCCTGTGCAGCTTCCCTTACTGTTTACAGGTTTCTCTTGAGAGAAGTCTTGTAATAAACTCACTTGCATGGAATGTCTCCCTGTCTCAGGCTCTACATTCTAATTTTAAGGAGCATGGGAAGGGACTATCATCCTGGATCTCAGGTAGAATGTCTCAGATATGGAAGTGGTTCTGGGGCTTCCATGGAATGGGTCTGGTTGAATGGGGCCCATGAGGTCTGTACTGATCCACTTTAGAGCAGGTCTAAAGTCCCAAGGCAGCTCCCCAAATGCTGAAATGTTCCCAGGGAACTCTAGGACTAGAAATGACTCCTCAAGGTCGACAACCAGGGCATGGGCAAGGGAGCAATGAAGCTATTGCTGTCTTAGGCTTCCTTAAGTCTGCATTCAATTGCACGCATGGTCCCATCCTGAACTGCAAGTCTCTAGGTATATTGGGTGGCTAGTAGTTAGGTTATTGGGTTTTGTAATTGCCTCTTCACTTGACTGTTTTTCTCTCTAGACTGTAAGTTCCATGAGGACAGGTACTGGGTCTAACATATATAATGGGGATATACCCCAGAACTTATTACACTGTCCAAAGGATACTTAGACATTCAACAAGTTGTTGCCAAATGAATGAATGAAAAGGTGCCAAGGAAGATAATGTTGAAAGGCAGGCTGAGGGCAGGTTGTGGATGGCCCTGAATGCCAAGTTAATGAGCCTGGATTTCATTTTGTATGCAACAGGAAACAAAGAATTTCGACATTGCTTCTCTGACCCTGGGGATGTTGCCATCTCCTTATGACTTACTGTTCTTTGTTCCATGGAAATAATAGGTAGTACATTTTATGCAAAGTATTAGTGAAAATGTTCTCTAAGGTAAAATGCAAGCAGAAATTGATAAAATTCTGAGATGCCAAATGTTCATTCACAACAGCAACTTTAAAAACTGTTCTATCATAACAGTTTTAGATTTTGATAAGCAAGAGGTTTATAGCTGTAATGTTAGACTTTATACTTTTGTCGGGACTAATGGCCTTGTGTGAGTAGTTAATGAACTCTCTCATGAAGTGATGTTGCTGACATACATGTTGTTGCAACACATTTTTTTTGAACAGGGGCCTGTAAGCTAATATTTAAACCATTGATTGAGTTCTAAACCATGTCAAGCAGGAGCAATGATAGGAAAATTAGTAAGCAACAATGTATTGAAAAGGATCATTTAATGTAAAAAGACCTTAAGATTGTAGCTGCATAGATCCAGTCCAGAACATTTTCAAACGAACAGTGTCAAAAACACTCTCATCAGAGATGAGACTAATTTTAGCTTTGTTTTAATTTTTGGCCAACCATCTCAGTTACTGAAGCCATCTGAAAGGAAAAATCACTTTATTTCAAGGGCACATTTAATATATATCTTCTTCTCATATAGGTTCAAAATTTGGGCCACAAAAGGACAATCTGTGTTACTCGTTTTGTACTCAGTCCCATGCATGGACTCACATGATTACTAAGAAGGAACAAATACAATGACAAAGATCGGGAACGAAAAAAGTGTCAGGTCAAATTTCACACTATTATCACTTTTTTTTTAAGCATTTTAAAATATATTTTTGAGAAACAGAGAGACAGAGCACGAACAGGGAAGGGGCAGAGAGAGAGGAGACACAGAATCTGAAGCAGACTCCAGGCTCTGAGCTGTTAGCACAGAGCCTGATGCAGGGCTCGAACCCATGAACCATGAGATCATGACCTGAACTGAAGTCGGACACTTGACTGATGCTTGACCAACTGACCCACCCAGGTGCCCCTATTATCAGTACTTCTTAAACCTAAATAGGCCACATACATTTAATATTCCCTAATACTGAAACTTTCAGAGTTTTCTCCCCCCAACCTCGTGATAAATGGGAAGAGAAATTACACAGGTGGAGCTATCTCAAGGCTTCTCAACCACAGCACTACTGACATTTTGGGCAGAGTGATTATAATGGGCAGCTGCCGTGTACATTGTAGGCTGTTTAGCAGCATGTCTGGCCTCCAATCCCACTAGATGTCAGCAGAACCTTCTTCCTAGTCACGGCCACAAAATGTCCCCGACACTACCAAATGTCCCCTGATGGGAAGCAGGGCAAAATGGTCTCTGGTTGAGAATCACTAGATTGCTGTATGTTTTAGTATTTAAGGAGAGAATGAGGAAGGTACTTACTTGTGCCTCTATCAAAGATACAGGGGTGCCTGGGTGGCTCAGTTGGTTAAGCATCTGACTTTGGCTCAGGTCATAATCTCACGGTTTTTGAGTTCAAGCCCTGCATCAGGCTCTGTGCTGACAGCTCAGAGCCTGGAGCTTGCTTTGGATTCTGTCTCCCCCTCTCTCTGTCCCTCCCATGCTCATGCTCTCTCTCTCTCTCAATAATAAATAAACATTAAGAGAAAATTTTTTTTAATAAAAAAAAGATACAGAATTCAGTAGGCTCTTCATTTGAGCTATTTGGCTACTTTAAGCTACCATGGAAATCTGTAATTCCCTTAGTTTCTTCCACAAACAGGAATGTCATTATTTCATTTCTTAATTTAAAAAAAAATTGTTTTAGAGAGAGAGAGTGCAAGCGGGAAGAGAGGCAGAGGGAGAAAGAGAATCTTAAGCAGGCTCCATGTTCAGTGTGGAGTCCAATGGGGGACTCGATTCCATGACTCTGGGATCATGACCTGAGCTGAAATCAAGAGTCAGACACTCAACTGACTGAGTCACCCAGGCACCACTGGAAAGTCATTATTTCAAAGACCACTGATGGCTTCCAAATTTATATCTCCAATTGATATCTGAATGTTGGAGTGCCCCAGGGTTTGGGCCCTTTTCTACTTTTTTTTTAAAAAAAAATTTTTTTTTTAATTTTTTTTATTATTTTTTTTTTTATTTAAAAAAAAATTTTTTTTTCAACGTTTATTTATTTTTTGGGACAGGGACAGGAACAGAGCATGAAACGGGAGGGTGAGGCAGAGAATGGGCTCAGACAGAATCGAAATAGGCTCCAGGCTCTGAGCTATCAGAGCCTGAAGGGGCCGGGCTCAACCCACGGACCGGGCGATCGTGACCTGGCTGAAGTCGGACGCTAACCACCAAGCGCCACCCAGGCTTCCCAAAAATTTTTTTTTTAACATTTATTTATTTTTGAGACAGAGAGAGACAGAGCATGAATGGGGGAGGGTCAGAGAGAGGGAGACACAGAATTCGAAACAGGTTTCACTCTGGGCTGAGCTGTCAACAGAGCCTGACACGGGCTCGAACTCACGGACTGCGAGATCATGACCTGAGCCGAAGTCGGCTGTTTAACCGACTGAGCCACCCAGGCGCCCCCCTTTTCTACTTTTTAATGTGCATTCACCCACTAAGCAATCTCATCCAATCACATGAATTTGAATACTGTCTACATACACTAATGCACTTAAATTTCATTCTCTGGACCACGCCCCTAAGCCCTAGAGTTCTATATCTAATTGCCTTACTTATAACCGACACTTGGATATCTAATTAGCATCTTAAACTTACTACATTCACAACAACTTTAAAGATCTCCTTGCTCTACAACAGAATATCAAAAAATTAGGACAGCTTCTAACATATATGATAAGGATTGAAACATTCAGAAAAAAAAAAACTTGGATATACAGGTTATGCAAAGTGAAGAAAACTATTCATCTACCCCCCCAAAAAAAAACCTCCCTTAATATACTCATAAAAAAAAGAGAAAATATTGCAATCATGAAGCAAGAACAGGATACCATAAAAAAGGAACATTCAGAGAACAAAATGAGCTCTTAGGTATTAAAAACATATAAGAAACTGGAATATAAAGTTGAGTAAATCTTCAAAAAAGCAAAGAGATGGTAAATAGGAGAAAAAAGGATAAATTGATTAGGATAAGATAAAGAAGGATAAAATAAGAGGATTAGGAGGTCCAGCAGCTGAATAATGAGAAATGAGAGCTCCAGAAAGATAGGAGGGAGCTTATTATCAGTGAAATAATTTAGAAAATTTTCCAGAAAAGAAGGATGGGAGTTGTCAGATTAGAAGATCCTTCCAAGGGCCAAGTAAAAAGATGAAAATATATTGATACCAAGGCACATCATCTGGAACTTTGGAGGCACTGAGGACAAGAAATAGATCCTAATAGTTTCCAAGGAAAGAGAGACAGACAGACAGAAAGACACAGAGAGAAATATGACATATAAAGGATTAAGAGTTAGAAGGATTAAGAAGGATTATGAGTTAGAATGGAGAATGGTCTGAACTTTCAATAGCCACAGGGAAGCAAGAAGACAATGGAGGGATACCTTCAAATTTCTAA